GGGGGGGGGGGGGGGGGGGGGGCCAAGATCCCCCTCTTCCACAAATTACCTTGTGGTCATTCACTAAAAATTACCTCTGTCAGGTTATAACAGGCATTTACTTGTTAAAAAGGTTACAAATATTACTAGTAAAACCTCTTGGTGACAGTTGGCTTTATTTAGTATACCTCTGGCAGTGAAGTGGGAAGAGTAATTTACATACAAGATCTCTGCTCAACTTTGCCTTAATTATCTATAATAATATGAAATCAATTACCAAATAATTGGCAACAGATAAGATTTGCCTGTCTTGCTTATTTATAGTTGACTGCTCATTTCAGACCGCCTGGTGGATTCTAGCGCTCTACGCAAGGCAATTGAAGCTGTGTATGTGGCTTACCTCCCAAAGAACATGCATCCCTTTATATACCTCAGGTGGGTTGATCAGTTACAGGCATGATGCTAACGATACATGGCCATGGAACCACATGACCATGAAAACGTGTCTCTGCGACAGGTGTGTCTTTCCAAGATGACAGTAAACTGTTTAATGCCAAAATCATTCTTTGGTGATTCCATGAATGTCTTAATATGTGTGTGTGTTTGTACAGGTATGTGTGTCAGTACATGTGTGTGTGTGCATGTTTACATGCGTGAATGTATGTGTTGCACTAACATGTATTTATATGTCATGGTGAAAACTATGGTCTGGTATAGGATGAGAGATTTGCTAAGACATAAAGATCCAGCATATCATACCAGTACCTTCTACAATAAACTGCAACTATTATCATGACATACTGGTAGCTACACACAATCATGTGAACCTATGCACATGCAGTATGTTTGTTGTGTTCCATGCACATACAAATGTCTATGTCTCCTGTATGCTTTTATTCATATAACAGTGACTCTGGTTTCTAGACAACTATGATAAAAAAACTGCATGAATTCTTTTAGATTAATATTAATAATCAATAGGACACAGGGATAGGACTTGAGACTCCTTGTGTAGACACTTTTTATGCAAGAAAGGAAGTTTAATTAGGAAGTCTTCAGTTTTGTATTAAATGGGAGGTGAGAGGTGGGGTTCTTCAGAGAAAGATGTTTTTTTTTCTTTTTAACAACTTAGCTACCCACCCCTGATGTGATAATAAAATCATGGCTTTTGGAAGACTGTCAGCCTATATTGTGAGCTCAGCCCCTGGATGAGCCTTGTCTTCCCTGTTGTGATATGATTCTCTGTGTAGAAAATGAGTTATTATAATTGAATCAAAGAGACTTTCTAGGAAAAATACTGAAGGGAATAACACGCCAAGAAGGAATTACCAAAATCAAATTGTGTGTGTGACAGCATGAAGCCCAATAGATTAATCTATCATTATCGTGTGACAGCACCTGATCATCTTGCACGTTCTCATTTGGATATTGGACAAAGACTGTTTTTTTTTCTTTTTGTAGATTTGGAACATGGGAACCTAAAACCAATAAATAAAACAAATTTAGTCTCTGGTCAAGTCATGTCCAACCTACTGGGTATGACCCATCTCAATGGGGCGTTGCCATGGAATATGATCAGCTCTGTCACCATTTGGTGCCAATTAAATGTCAAGGGTCTTAATTACTTCTGTCATTTAAAATGACCTTGAGATGACACTTTAAGGATTTTGACTTGATGCATGATTGTCATTAGATAGCTCATTGACATGGGTCATGCTAAGATTGGTTGACTGGGAAAAAAAGATTTTAGTGTGACAGTTACTGTAATTGGACTGCTTTCAGAGAAGTCTAGAAAGGCCACCCCCATTGACATAAACTAAATGTCACCCAATGCCATACTGTTCTGCATTTGTGCCAAAAGTTTAAATAGATATCAACACTTTCATCGTGATGTTGAATCCCTTTTGAAATTATGTTTGAAGTACAGTCAGTATAAAAAAAGAGTCAACTCTCAAAAAATAAAAAAAGTCACTTAGAGAGTAAACGGACTGAGTATGTTGGATGGGTGCCATTTCAGCTGTTGCCCAGCTAGAGGCATAAACATTTTCCCACTCATATGTTTGAGGAATTCAGTATCTTTTTTCCCCCTAAAAAATGTAGAAATCAGCCTGGTAGGTATATATGCAGGGGCAGATTTAGGCCATCTTCTGGGTCTTCCAGAAGATGGTCAGATTTTCAGGTTTACATTGACGGGTATTTAATTTTTTTCAATCAGACGATGGTCAGAAAATGGAAGATGGATCAACAAAGATAATTTGGAAGACTGTCGGAAAATATCTCTGGATCCACCCCTGATATATGTGCTACATGTACATACTGTCAGTTAGCTAACATTTAATTCCTTTGATGAGACATAGAACCTTATGCATAAGCATTGCCAATATAAAACATTTAAAAAAGGTCATTAATCTTAAGGTTGGATAATTTCTTGTAAATGGCAACCTCATAAGAAATAGTTTCACAATTTTTAATGTTTTTAAATGCGATCTTTTATAGAAACCTCAGTGACTTCCGGTAGCGTGATAAGTCAACAAACAGTTCTGGAATGAAAACAGAAACATGGCATGAATCTCAGTTCCTACACAATGCATAAGGTATCAGTTTTAACCAAAAGTATCAAATTGAAGGCAAAAGGTTGTATTGAAACAAAATTATATTCTTCAGAGGAATAGATCCTCTCAGATCTTTTGAAGTATATGTTTCTATTGTATTACCACCATTAATGTACCTGTAGATACTGGAGAGAACAGGAAAACATGGAAAGAACAATCAACAAAGCCCAAGTTATAAGCAATCTGTTTTTCAGGCTGCATTGGTTGACAGATGAGGAACATTATTATTGCATGGCCTATAAGCTCATAGTGACATATTGATTTCTTTGCAAAATAGATAACAGAATACTTACTCAAAGGAAATATTTATTATTACTGTTTGGCGGTCATTGATTTGTTGACAAATCGGTTACTGCGTAAACACAAAAAAAAAATCATTAGGGTTTCTCAATACAGTGGAAATTCAAATAAATCTTGTGAAGGAGTCAACTGCTTGCTGCATTTTAATTGTTTGGGGCTGTACTCGTGCTGCTGGAGTATGTACATGCGTCATCTGTCCTTTCTTCAGAAACAATTCTGTATGCAGCGAATATTCTTATTTGAAAAAAACAAAAAAAACAAGTCAGCAAGGCTGTCAAATGTACAGACAAAAAACAGAAAATAAAGAAGCAAAAATAGGTCATTTTGTCAATTTTGATGCAATAATAAATAATGGTTATAATAGCACAGTCAGTTAACACTGAATTTTAATCATGCAGAAAAAAGCAAAAAAAAAAAAAAACAGTATAACTTTTGTGAAAATGATCCGATCAAGCTGATTTTCGAACTGGACCTGCGTATTATGAATATTCATCAGTTCTGTGAGTTTCAAACCAAAGGGTAAAATGGTTTTCCATTTATCATGTTATTGGTATTGCATATATGCTGAAAAAAGTGAAAAAACAGCGTAACTTCTATAAAAATGGACCGACCATGCTGGTTTTCAAACTTGACCAGGGTATTATGAATATTCTTCAGTTCTGTAAGTTTCAAACCAAAAGGTAAAACAGTTTTCCAGTTATTGTGTTATTGCTGGTTAAAGTGTACGGCAACGACGACAATGAAGACGGCAACAACAGACACAGGTGACGGCTGTATCTGTGTCTGTACATAAAAAATACCCAAAAAAACTATGACTTGCATGTTATATTACTGCCACCCTTAATGTTATAAAGATCTCTTTATCAAAATGATGAGAATATGTGGTATACTGTCAGAAGATTCAAGGTGACCCTTTTGTCAGTATATTTGTTATAACATGACTTTCGTATTATCTGGCATTGCCCTTGGCAAGGAAAAAAAAAACATTTGGTTAAGCATTTTGATGAGCATCAGCCATTTTTAATGTTAACTTTAAGACAGTTAATACAAATGTAAAGCAATCCTCATTTCAAATGGCTATTTGCTCTATCTTGCAGCCTATAGCTGAGAGCTTATTGTTGTGACTGATCTTATTATAGTCACTGGACAAACACTTGGAATTCCAAAAGGGAAGAAAGAAAAAATAAATGAAACCTGCAGTGATTGGAGATATCGGTAGCTTTGGGTGTGTGTGCATGCATGTGTAGTGTGTAAATTAAATCCACATTTATAAAAAAAAATGAAATTGATACATCATTACTAGTGCTTAAGTTTCAGAGGTGTCTGGAACCAGTTTATTAATTTTCATGCCTGTTTACAATTGTCACATCAAAACTTTTAAATTAGCAGCATTTGATTGAAGTTTTCTAAACCATTCACAAAATTTAATGTTTCGCTGGTCTGTGACTATGCCACATACCTATCTTATGAACCACAAATTTAAATCTGGATGTTACCCAAATGAGCATTTGTAAAAGGTGTGGTACCCTTCATCAGATTTGATCCGAAAAGTCATGTAAATATGGAGGGTCAAAAATATGCATGTACACAGTAGAGGCTGGCACCATTGGCCCCAAACCTCCATGTCACCTGGCAGAAAAGGACATAAAATTACCAGTTTCTTGAAAACAGTTTTCTTTGATTTAATTTGGTATAAAATCAATGGCTTTCCATTACCAGTAGAAAGGAGAAAAGAGAGAACAGTTCTGTGGAACATTCTAAATGCAAAATTTGTTCCATAAAATTTTGCTTTGTCATCATTTTGTCAGTGAACATGATACTGTAAGTACTTGTATCTGTATATGAGCATATGAAAAATGGTGCTAAACTGTGCATGTCCAAAAAAGGACCGTTTTGAGATAAGCACCATTGGCTCTTTTGCAAGAAAAATAGAATGATGTATTGTAGGAACTGGTTAATAAGTATACAGTCATGTATAACACTTTGTTGGCAGTGAGGTATACTCAGTCTGATATATGGGACCAGTCTCGAATACATTTAGTTTGATAAAAATTAAGTAGTTCATCAAATTTTTAGTCACCACAAATTTGGATGTGTGTGGTTTTATGGTGTGTCTTTGTAATCTGCCATCTCTGAAGAAACACAGACAGTATGTTGCAAAAATGTATAAGCCTCTCTCTCTTGCTAATGTCATCTGCCAGTAAATCTCTAGTATGATCATGAATCATGGTAATTATGTGAATTGGCAACTAAAAAAAATATGAAAAATAATTTCTGCAATCATTTAGGTACTTGATACATTTCCCTCAGTGATGCTTGGAAGGTAGCATGTATGCGGAATAAAACATGTGGAAGTCCTTGATCTCAGTGGGCTCTTGTGACAGGAAATTAGGCACTTGATAGAATGGATGATTGAATTGTTTTAATTCTTAGATTTTGAGACATGGGAATTAAGAAGCATTTATCTGAAATGATAAAAGGTCTGCATTTTCATTTTACCCATTTACCTGTGTTTGAATGAAC